CCGTGCGGCCCGGGGTGCCGTGTCTCCGCGTAACAGCTTTCCCTTGTGCCTCAGGAGTGGAGTGGGGGCTGATTTTTCCTGATGCTAACGGGGAGTACCAATCGCCTATTAACCTGAACTCGAGAGAAGCTAAATATGACCCCTCGCTCCTGGAAGTGCGTTTGTCGCCGAATTACGTAGTGTGTCGTGACTGTGAAGTGATCAACGACGGGCATTCTATTCAGATTGCCCTGAAGTCAAAATCAGGTACGCTGAAACCCGGCCCTTGGTTCCCCCACTAAAGTCTTGCCTTGCCTAAAGACTCACTTTCCTGCGTATCCGGGAGCACGGGATCAGCAACTGCTCCCAGCCCCGAGCTGCTGTGGTCCTTCGGCACGGACTGGGCCAGTAAGAGTGTTGCCGTTGACTTCAGTAGGAAAAAGGAGCAAGCTTTGCAATGGGAGCTGCAAGTTTGAACCCCAAACTTGATGGTCAGTCAGATTGCTTCAGAGCATGCCCAGAATTTCCTCTTGTGGTGGTGTCACCTAATTCCCTGGCATTCACAGCTATCTGCATTCAGAAGCAGTCTGGACTGTCACAAAGACGGTGTGATGCCAAACTATTTTGTACAGCTGGCAAAATTTGTCCTTGGTCCGAAGACCATGTAAGTTAAAAAGAGCTTTTCCCATTAATTTGAGTGGGTTCTGAATACTAACTACAGAATTGGGCAGCTTAAGATAGGTACTCCAGTTATACATGCTTACAATACTGATGAAGAGCAGGTAGCAAAGCAGTCCTCATTTCTTAAAAGGTTTTTTGGTGTCATTCATCAATAAAAATTAGAAGCAAATCATAAAAGAAACAATTCCAACTTAAGTGAAGTTGCAGGAAAAAAAGTCCATTGTGCTTTCCAGCACTGTGGTAGTTCTTACCATGTGTTTGGAAGGGCATCCAAGTTATTCTAACCAATCTTAGCTATTAACAGCCTTTTGGGGGCATTTAAACAGCTGAACATTGTCAAACCATGAGACATCCCAACTTTTGTTTCCTTCTGAGATCCCAGTAGCCCTGGGAGCCACAGCTGTGCTGAGAGTGAGGGAGTCAGTTCAGTTTTACACTGAATTTTTTAAAAAAGAAGGGATTGTTATTTTAGTAATGATGCTTTCCTTTATCATTTCCTTCCATAATACATTCCATGTATTATTGCAACACAGAACATTTCTTTCCACAGAATTTTGCAGATTTGCAATAGAATAGGAATTTTGTACTTCCAGTCAGTTGTACTGCCTTCATTAGAAGCAGAGCTCTTTTCCCAAGGAATAAGGTTCTCTCTGCAGGATCAGGAAGGGTCTTGAATTCTCCTGTGCAGGAAGTGAGAGTCACCGCAAATGATGTCATCGCTTGCATGCCAAAATGCACCTCCTTCAACCTGACCTTTCACAAGGGCAGTTTGTAACTTAGTAACAATAATTAATAAGATGGGACCAACACGCCTAAACGTGTAGAATCATAGAGTCATTAAGGTTGGAAAAGACCTTTAAAATCATCAAGTTCAACTGTCAACTGAACACCACCATGCCCACTAAACCATTGTAACCTTAGGAGAAGGAAAGACTTCTTTTTTAAACTTGAGTGTGGTGTGATGTGAGACTGATGAGTCTTGAAATATAAGAAAATCTGAACTAGAATTATGACTGAGGTATGGAACTATGATTTAGGAAATCTTGTTTTAGTTTCAGCTTTTCCTTAGGTGTCATGTTACATCATTTCCCATTCTCCATTTGTAAACTGGGGATAGTTTTTCTGTGTTTGGGAGGGGGAAGACTATGTTTATTATCCCTACTAGGAGGGGAAAAGAGTTAATAGCTGTGTTTGACCTAGTATTCTGGCCAATTTTCAGGGATTGCGGAAACTCCTGCAGCTTCTTTTCCTCACAGGGGATTTCTGATGACAAATCCGTTTAGCCAGATTATTTTAATGGGAACTGTTGAGCACTAAATGCTTTTGAAACTCTGTCCAATTAATGAGCAAGAGATCCTCATCTACTGCAAAGTTAACAGTCGAAGAAAAACTTCTTTATTGAAAAAAGTAAACTGATTAAGTTACATGTTAAAAATCAATTTGTCATTTATGGTGTTTGGTTTTATCCTTTAATTCAGGACACGCGGTCCATCTGGAATTCCTAAATCCTTCTTATTATTTAATTGCAAACATTTTCACAGGCTGCTTCCAGTTTGATCATTGTACATGTGTTATGCATTAGGTGGAAGAAGCATGACCAACTGTGTAATGGAATTGTATATTGAAAAATGCTTTAGAGGATATCCTGCTAACAGAGCGACTTCTCTTAAGCCAGCAGTGGATTGCACAGTGGATGATGGTTTCAGAATTGTTTTCTAATGAGGATCAAAAATTGCTGAAAGGCAAAGCAAAGTTAAACATGTTTCATGCATTGACAAGGATCAAGATTTGATGAAAGGCAAAGGAAAGATAAACGTGCTTCATGCACTGAAATACTTTTATGATGGGATCAATGTTATAACTTAAGCCTCAGAAATAAACTCTTTGAAGCTCCTGGAGATCCAGAACTACATCATATAGAGAACATTTGTTCTAGTTACACTTTCTCTAGAAGCCATATTTTAAAACAGAGAAAATGCTCCATTTTCCTAAGAAATAGCACTATTTAAGTATCGTATTTCTTTTTATTTGTCCAGATTTCCCTAAATACTTCAACCGGTTGCTTCCCCTAATGTTCACCAGATTTGTAGATTTTCCCTATGGGATGTAGGTGCAGATAAAAGATAGATAAAGCAAGTTTAAAAAACAAAATCTGAATCTATAACTACATTTAGGACATTTCATTTTAGAAACCCTAATGGCTGTTGGATTAGTTACCAAGAATTATTAAAGGAGGATTAATTGGAATATTTTACTTTTTTCTTCAGTGTAATTGCTTGTGAAAACCATAACTGATCAGTTTTCTTTCCATTTTTTTTATAGTTCAGTACTTTTGTTTTTGTGTTGTTACAGTTGAATATATTTCAAATGATAAATTATGTTTTAGTATTACACTATGTCTTGTGCTCCAAACTAAGGCTGCTTAGTTTGTGTGTCAAAATAACTTTATATTATGGAACTTTAATCCCCTAAAGCTGTAGATTATGCAATTAAATAATCCTTATCAGTTATCAGAGATTGTAAAAAACTTGTTCAAAGCCTATGAAACGTAAGCTAGAAATTATTGGATTCTGGGGAAGACTGTGAATGCCCTTAAGTAAAATCCAGCCCTGCCTAGAAGCCAATATTCAGTGATTTCAGTGGAAAGTTACCTACAGCTTGCGGAGTAGTATTTGATCTGAAGCAGATTCAGAAATCCCTGGGCAAAAAGTTTCCATTGATTAATTCCAAAGTAGATTTGGCCTCACAAGGTACAGCTGTTTGCTTTTACTACTTAGGGTGGAAGTCTCTATTAATACAAAAGTATCGAGCTACTATATAATTTTTTTTGATGCGTGTTGCAATTGTGGACAGATGCTTTTAAGAAATTCCGGATGTTTAAAAAACTGAAGTAAAAAACAGCCATGGCTGCCTAGAAGCTGTTTTTAAGTAAATGAGGTGTGTTGTTGCTCCTGTGTGTACGTTTGATTATATTTGGCTATGGAGGCATTCTGTACCTCAGAAGCCTGACAGGTGGTATATGACTGAATTACCTAGCAAAATACTGGCAATCAAAACTTTTCTATCAGTTTCTGTGACTCATAGCAAATATAGGTGATGGAGATTAAGCATTCGGACAAGTTGGAGGTAGTTACCAGTTCAATTCAGAACCCCCACCATCTGTTTAGAGCACACAGCTACTGTCTTGATAAGAGTAATAAAGATATTCACTCTCCTGACTGATAAAGATATAATTTTTTTATTTTGTGTTATGACCAGCTGGTCTGCCTCATAAAACAGAGTGCAGCCTGATCATATGATTTCACTGTTGATCATAACTGCCTGAACTCGTGTTCTGTACCTGCACGGTACTTCAAAAGTAAAGATGTCAAGTCTGTCAACTTTACTCTTCTCCTCTCTAGTACTGCTGATAATAAACAAACTTGCAACAATCTCCCCGTTGTATTTGGAGAATATACTCAGTGGCTCGTCTGCTTTGAAAACCAAGTTCCTTACAATTTGTCTTCTTTCCCAGTGTTAATAGGGGGGCCATTACCTCGAGGACATGAGTTTGAGCTACACGATGTTCGATTTCACTGGGGGAGAGAAAACCAGCGCGGTTCTGAACACACGGTTAATTTTAAGGCCTTTCCCATGGAGGTAAGAGTGACACTGCATTGCATAACACCCGCTAAATGCAAAACATTTTATATCATGCCCTGAATTCCTGGTAGTTCAAAAGAGAGTTTCTTTTAGCTCAGCATTTTATTGCTTTATATTTCAACCACAAAGCTATCTTGCTGAGGTGTGCTTTAGTGCAGGTAAATTAGGATATGTATCTGGAATAGAGTGCCTCCAGCACTCATCACATTATATGATTAATTGGTCATAAAGTTAACTTGCAGAATTATTAACTTCTGTCTTAATAATGTTAGTGTTCTAACAAGATCTGCCATTTCAACACTTCCTATGTCACCTTGACCTAGCTATAGATGAGGAGAACTAACCACTGGAAATACTTCCATGGCGAATAATAACAACTTAGGTAACTTTGGAGTAAGTGTAGAGCAATTTGTTCATGAAATAGCTTTACATACCTGAAAATTGAAGATTATGTGATATCCTTGGGTATGTTCTGTAATATCTCAATCAATTACAAAACTTTGAAATACAAAGTGATAATGCAGTCTGCAAAAATTCAACTGTTCATGGGGTGTCAGTTTGGGCTCCTAGGCAACCCAAAATGCTGGGGCCTATTTCTCCTGCCCTCCAGCAGCCGTTCATCGTATTACTTCACTTCCCACTGTCACATTGCTTACACTTGTCAAGGAGTGGCTTGGAGTATCCCTTAGGCCCTGAGCTGCAAGACCAGTTTTAACAGATACCAACCTTGAGGTTTGGTGACTTCAGCTTTGCATCTTTTATTTCATTTGTTGTGCACTATTGGTTTTAAAGAAACTCAAGATTTTTTCGGAGTTGTTTGAATTATTTTTGCCTTATTTATCTATCATAATCCCTCATGAGCCTGAAACTCTGTTTCCTTTTTCCCTGTGTTATTCAGTGCTAGGAAATTTGTTACTGTAGTATTATATTCATGAGTGCCAGGCTACTGGAATAGAACTGCTTTACAGAAAAAGATGTAGAAAATATTAGAGCAACTACTGCAAAGCTAAATGTAAAAAACTTGTGGACTTACACCATCAGTCTAATTCTTATGGTTGTTCAGGTACTTTCTTTAAGAGTTGCAGGTCAGACTTTGGCCTCTGCTATTTACTGTTTTACAGTGGTCCATCAGAAAAACCCATATATAAAGTCGCTCATAGAGTCTTTGCAGGTTGAGTTGATGCAGATCATAGAATTGTAGAATCATTTAGGTTGGAAAAGACCTTTCAGATTATCAAGTCCAACTGTAAACCTAACACTGCCAAGTCTACCACTAAACCATGTCCCTAAGTGCCACATCTACACGTAGGCCCTCTTTGTAGGTTGATTTCATGCAGATCCTGGCAACGCAGGAGGATTACTTGAATGGGGAAGACTTATCAACTGAAGGCAAAGCAGAGGAATCACCTCTGCATCCTGGTTACCTGGCATAATATATACAATGTGATCTATGTGGGCAATAGATACTTCAGGATACTGCAGTGTTCATTTGAGGCAGGAAGTAGCTTGTTCATTACGAAATAGCTCTGCCTAGTGCTTTTCCTCAAGGCTGATCCAGCATATGGTGATCAAGAAATATGGATGTGAACTATGTTAAGAACTGTTCTTGAGAGACTATCAGAGTCTCCTGTCTCCTTATTTATTAAGGACCACTTCACAAACAGTCTTGGTCTATGTGGGAACTGTCTGTTGATAATCTGCAGAAACCCCAGAGTTCTCTACTCCAGATCAGTCCAGAGAAAAGTATACTTGACCCAGAGATGCAAAGCAACAAACTTCATCAGTCATGAAAGGATTTCATTCTTCAGCTACTTTAACAGCAGCACAGCAGCTGCACAAACAGAATTCTGGCACAGTTGAAGAACATCACCTGGAGGTGAGCAAGCCAGCGTTATCCTGTGTCTTGCATCTAAGCAGCTTTCAGCTAGACTCTGATCTCCAAGAAACAATTACTGATGCAAAAATTCTGTAGCAGAAAAAAATTGACTCATAATACACTTTAAATACAATGTGAATGTTTATTTTTTCAAACAGATTTTTATGCAGATTAATTCTTCTGGCAGAAAATGACAGCATAGCTTGTTGTATCCAAGGTCAGTTGCACACAGGTGTATTGGCTGAGCCAGTTCATCATCTTCTGCCCCATGTTGCAAGAAAGTGCAGGATAGTTTGTTTGACATATGAGCTGCATTTCCTTCTGCTATATGCACAGAGAGCTGCTGTATTAAATCCATCTGAAATTGTCCAAATCAAATATTATACTTGAGCAGTAATAAAACAGGTGCTTGTGACCACTATAAAAGTTTATGAAGTAGTACACCTGAGACTCCAGAATGGAAGATTTTCTGTTTCCATTCCAGGCATTGCCCCATCTAATTTTTTTTGTGGGAACAATAATTTTGATCCAGGGACTCAGAAATCTTATCTTCTTAACTTTTAACATTAGCATTTGTTTATACAGTTGTTGGAAATGACCATATTCTGAACACATTTTGGCTTGATTTTCCCTGGGTTTGTTAGTTACTGAACACAAACAGCGATGTGTGCCTATTTTGGCTATACACAAGCAGTGTAGCGTAGTTTATGCTTTTGGTCTGTACTAAACACAAAATAAGCTGGCAGTCGTTTGTATACAAATGCATGCCTAGAAATATATTGAGCACCAAGTGCATAAGTTTGGATCTTCTGCCAGTGGAGCAAATCTAGTAGGACGTTTTCCTAAGAAACTAGAAATTATTTACAATGCAGTTGATAAGGATTTTAAATCCTCCTCTCTTTGTGGGAGGAAGACAAGTCAGGAGGATAAGCCGTAGTATGAAAACCTAAGTGCTTGATTTAAGTTGGTACATCAACAACACAACAAACTAGGCCCAGATTACACTCCATTACACTATTATAAAACCCAAGCAGTTCTACTCCAACTATGAGTTTGAAGAGATCTATCTGAGATGACTATCTAAGACTATTTACTGACTGGAACAGCAGTCTTTTTTTAGGTCTGAAGACTGTAAGGCTTTATTGTATTACATTGGACCAAATAGTTGTAGAACTGCTTCAGATTACCAGTGTAATGATCTTTGTAAAGGATGACTTTAAAAAAGAGTGTTATTTTCCAAAGTTTGGAAAAACACTCTTCAGTTACTTCCTTAGTCTCTTCACCTTTGATACCATAACTGCTTTTATAGAAATTAGTCAATATTCTGTGTTAGTTGGATAATATCCTGTGTCTCTTAGTGCAAAAATCTATTATTTCATACTAGACAGCTGGGGTCTTTGCATGTGGTTAGGGTATGTAGGTTCATGGTGAAATGGGTTAGACTACTAAGCTTATGTAACCTCTGGAACAGCTTCTTGAAATAATTCACACTGTCGAAAAGCATTGTTCATGTGGCTTGGAGGCTGAGTTAATTGGGGTTTTTTATTGTATGAAATTCAGCAAAGATGTGTTTTCCACCTTCCTTGACTGAAGGAACTGGAATGTTGACAGGAGTATGCCAGTGTTATCATTTTCACTGAAACACCTGTCTTTGCAAACAGTCAGGAAATCAGGACAAAACAATAAATACTTGTCAAAGGTACATACTGTAACACGTCTTTTTAAACAAAGGAAAAGCAGAGGGCTGTACATATCGGTACAACATCCTCTCTCTGTTCCATGAAAACAAGAGCATGAAGGCTGTTCTTGCCTTTTGGCCAGAAATTGGAAGGAGACATTTGTGCAACTTTCTCCAGAAATCTTTCTCACCAATTACTACTACTGCATGTAAACAGTGCTGCTTTGCCTTTTGGCCAAAGTTACTTTGGCCACTGCTTGTGCTAAATATTTAGTAATGGTCTTGACACTGAGAGGCTATTTCTTGCCAGCAGATGGAACAATGTTCCAAAGATCAGATTGTGCTTTACAGTACACATTTCCATAGGGCAGTAAAGTCCAGAGTTACCTGAACCTGATTTAGGTGTAAGAAAGAGAGGAACAATTTGACATCTTTATTCCTCTCCTTCATGCCCAGAGTATGGATTGGAGAAGGAGGAAGAACAAATCAAGAGCTAATGAAGCTCTGACTCTCCCCCTTACCTTTGGTGCATAAGAGGGAGACAGAGGGGGACAGGAATAGCAAATTGCTACAATTTATTTCTGTTATTAACAAAGTTAAAATAGGGTAAGCTAAAAATGGAGTCCCACTGTACCCGATCTCTGTATAAACGCAGTTTACATTAGTACCAGGCCAAATCAACTTACAGTCAAAAAAGACAGGAAAGACAGCAGGAGAAAGTGAACTATATGACGGCATCAATGCTGATGGAAAAAAAAAAGTTGTCACTGCTTCTGAACTGAAAGGAAACAGGGAAAATTATGCCCTAAAGGTGTCTCTTGCTCTTGGTTACTCAAGTGGTGGTGTGACCAAAGGCGCAATCTGACCATAAGGGAACAGTTCTTTCCAGGCCACTGCTCTGAAATAAAACTGTTTCTGAGAAAATAAAAGGTTCCTTTCACCACTTGTAATATGGCAAGGAGGATAATTCTCTGTAATCCATCCTCTTTAAAATGTAGGCTTATATTAGCTGTGAACCATGTGAAAGCTCTCAGTAGAAGAGGATTGGCAGAAAATAATTTTAAAATTGTTTCCAAGATGTGCAGAAAGATTAAAACCTGCATTATTGTCTGTCCTACAGTTTATGAGTCAAACAGAAGAAAATCCAATTGCCTGAAGGACCAGAATCAGTTCTGTCCAGGAAAAGAAAATGTTCCTTTCTGTTGTGTAATGAAGAGCAGACTAATTCATTCTGTAGACTCTTTCAGAGTTACTGAAATACCTGCTGCGATGAAGTTAAATATCATGCAAAAAACATATCCTACCCTCGATCTGATTTAAACCATTAAGTTTTCCTTTGTTCACATGAAATGGTGCCTGCCTAAGGATCTCATCAGAGTTATAGCTTTAGGGCTTCAGGTTAGGCTGTTGACATTACGCTTATCTACTCAAGTCTTTACAGTCTTCGGTGTGGGGATTTTTCTGTGCCCAGTTCTGAAATCAGATATCTGCAGACTGTGCATCCCCTTTCTGGAATTTCTTGAGAGGAGGTGTCATTCTTTCAACATGGAAATTTATTCTTTGCCAATTTTTAATATTCTTTGCCAACATTATTTAATCTTGCTGTTTTACCCAGTTTCTTATGAGCTCGTTAGCAAATTATTGAGGTTAAAAACCACAACAGAGTATTTGTAATTATAGTAGGAGGCCTAGGAGATAGTGTGCATGCAAGCGTGTCTCTCCCTTTTTATGCAGAGACTTACAAATTGCAAGTTCCGCTATCTGTGGATTTTTGCCAGTAGCTTTAATGGGACTATGATCCCAATCATAAACCCTAAAAGAAAAGGTTTTAAACCAAGGCATAAATCCTGTTGCCTTAGCTGATTGCATTGATTACCAGCTTATGAAAAAAAATTAATTCATTCCACTCACTTTGGCAGCACAAGACCAATGAATGAAGAACATCTTGCTTAGGCAGTCATGGATTTAACAGGAGGCAGAAAGAACAGATTCCAGAAGGGTTTACATAGCTTCGTGCTGAGGTCTGGAACTCTGCTCGAAATTGTCCAAGTTTTCTGGTGGAAAATTAACTTGTTACTCAAAGGCTTGGACAATTTTCTGAATTTTGGAATCATTGCAGATGAATACTGTAAGATGTGATTAAAACAGTGCATCTTATAAGAAAATTATGACATTCATGTAATAGCTATATCCTTGACAGTTTATGAATAACAGATTAATAATAGTTTAAAGTAGATATGCCCATTGGACATTATCTAATTTTTGAGGACAGAATTGTGGAAGAACACAGGAAAATCAGGCCAATATCTAAGCAGATGTTTTCAGATTTGTTTTCCAAATCTTCAATGATTTATACGTACACAATCTTTTACACATTATGTAGATGCAATTCACAAAGATAACAATAATACTTAGCTTTACACAGCACTCCGTGGGCAAAATTGGTCCTAGCACGAATTCTAAGGCTGTCAGTGAATTGTATTATGTGCGATCCTAGTCCCATATGTGCAGGTGTTTAAGTATCTTTCTGCCTTTTTCTATATAGCATACACTCTGTGGTCCACTAATTGATGTGACTTCTGTTTGGTTTTTTTGTAGTGATACAAAGCTGGGAGGTCTCTGGCCCCTCTTAGTATACTGGGAAACAGAAAACCAACAACAAGAGAAAACCAAAATTGCCATCATTGTAAAAGCACACATGAGCAGCTTATGACTCTTGAGATTCCTAGTTGCTAAGCTCTTTCAGTATATTTTTATTGTGCCTGAGGGTTAATTTGACCGAAATAGGCACATGCAGTCTCTGAAGTATACTTTGTTTATAGGTAATTTGTCAATATGAGCTTGGATTAGCCCTTGTTTTGCTCAGTCACATATAGTTT